TCCAGACGAATGCAGGGATCTTCCTGCTCACTGCTGGTCTGGCGGATGCTCTGCACCTGGAAGGTCTGGGCGTGAGAGCCCCACTCCCGGAAATGTTTGTAGTCTCCTGAGTGGTGATCGCACTCCAGCACATACTGAAAGCCTCGGTAGCCCGGGAACTGGCAGCAAACCCAGCTGGAGGAGGAGAGAACAGATTGTCACCTCAGGAAGCCCAACCTCGTGAGCAAGATTGGCACAAAGGCTGAGGATGGACACATAATCAGCCTTTCTGTTTTTCTTTTCAGTGCTCATAATGTATCCACCCACTTCCTGCCACTGAGCCATCGATTATGCTGTTCCCTCTGGAAGAAACACTGTTCCAGCCATTCCCCTACAGGTCATGTCTCAGCTCAACTATCATTTCATTAGCCAATGGACCTCAGAACAGACCACCATCTCTTACTGTACCGTCCTTTAGTATCCTTCACTTTTCCTGTATAGGAATCACCCAACAACATCATTGTCAAGTCCTAGGTTAACCCATCAATTTTCTCTTAGGAGTTAAAATTCTGAGCAGTAGGGATGAGTGTGCTTTTTTCATATACCTTTCCTTGACAATGTTTCTGTGTAAGGGAGGGAAGTAAGGGAACAGAATGAGATGTCCCACTGAGTGTCCTTTACTTGGAACTCACAGATCCCAGTCAATATCTCCTTGTGCCTCAGTGCCCTTCTCTGGAATGTAGGTATCAGGACCCCAAAGCCTTTAAGCACACAATTTTCACAGGAAAAGCCCCTATTCATCTCAAAATCCCCACCCCATCTTCCCCAGTCTAACAGAGCCTCGTAGGCACTTACGCCCCTGAGTGAACACGGAAAGAGCCCACTTCGTTGCCATCCCAGCCCATGGCTTGGAGAGAAGGGTAGTCATCGCTCAGCTCCCCTTTCCTGCCCAGGAAGTTCTCCTGCTCAAAGATGGTCAATCTGGAGTCACGGTGGTTCTGTGGCACAGAAAACAGGTTCAGACCCTCAGATTCCCAGAAGGAAACTCAACGTCTTCAGCTGACCCCCACAGCCAGGCCCTCAATTTCCAAATCAGTCTCCCTTGCAAAAATTTTGGGAGAGAAATAAAGTAGCAGATACTATAATCTTAGATAAGATATAGCCTTTGCTCAGAAATCCCTCTTTCAGAAACTTATAATCATGGGAGGTGGGTTTAGTTAAAAATTCCCCCTCCCTATTAAATTTGAGAGACCTGTGTGTACTGAAATTAAAAAAAAAGAAAGAATCACAGAACAAATTATCCATTAAAATGTTCACTCTCAGGATAGATAATGACCATTGCATTGGAACAGATGAAGGAAAGAACTGTAAAAAGGAATATATGATTAGGCATTATATGTACGACAATAGCCCAGAATAAGAGGTACATCATTGCATAGAGGACTTGGGCGGAGTGATGGGAGGTAATTGTGCAACAGTGAAAGAATATTTTAAAAAAAAAAACAAACAAAAACTGAGGGAACTCTGGTGGCCTAATGGCAAGAAGCTGCATTGCAATCTCGAAGGTGCGTGGTTTGAATCTACCAGATGCTCTGTTGGAGAAGGTGGGGCAATCTCTTCCTGTGTCAGTTGGATTTAATTCGATGGTACACAACAAGGGGGAAAAAAGTGAATTGGGGAAGGGGGAAGGAGAGAGAAAGAGGGGTAAAATGTGCAATACTAAATGAATGGAAACCTAACTTCTCTGTAAAGGTTGGTTAAAATCATTATTACAATTTTATTTTTTTTTAAAAAAAAACAATGTTTACTCGCAGGCTTGATGGTACAGCAAAACACCAACAAGCAATAGCATCAAATAAACCTGGAATCAACCAAAATGTCTAACCTACAGGATCAGGTGCTATTTGCTTCATCAAGGCTAAAAGAAATGATGCAGAGGTCTGGGTTCAAATCCCATCTCTGCCACTTATTTGCAGATTGAGCTTAATACAGTATGAGCCATTTCCAGGCTTCTGTTTCCTTATCTCATACAGGGGCACCGTGAGGACAGAAGAGATTGGTTTTGGTAATTTTTTTGCCATATCTGTAAAAAGAAACTAACTATATCTGCTTTTCAGGGTTGTCCTGAGGATTCAGTAAATGCAGGGCAGTAAACGGTCAGTGTGAGGTCAGGGCTCACATCTGTCCCATTGCACCATCCATCCCTGTATTTATCACACTGTCTGGGCAACTGGTGAAATACATTAGCCAATGAGCTTATTCAGGTAATGGGTTCCTAAAAAGAGCTCTGAAAAAATGATGTTGCAAATGAGATTTGATTGGGAAATATTTGCATTGTGAGAAAGATCATTTTGCAAGGGTTCTACATTTATACAACCCGTGTCTATAAAATGATTATATATGGATAGCAAAAGAGACCAGAAAGGAATTCACAGAACTGTCCAAAGTAGGCTTTCCCCTGCGAGGTATGGTTATTTACATGTGACTTTTGTTTTCTTATTCTGCTAAAGCAGGTTTCCCCTCTTAACTTTGGCCAATAAATGTGTGTATTTGTGAGGTTATTAATGGACTAAAAATTTTGGTTAAATGTTCAGAAGGAGAAGCAGAGCAGGGGGACAAAAAAAGGAAAAGGGAATCACTGAGCTAGCAAAGATTGGTGAGTGGAGGTGGGGGTAAATTAGTTGCAAATGTTCAAAAGGAACTTGAAAAGATGGGGTGATAACAGGCATAGTTATTAGGTGCTATCAAGTCGAGTATTAACAGGCAAAGACCAACGATAATTATCTAAAATATAACGTATGTGAATGATTGTCTAAAACACAAAGCACACATATACGATGTAAACATGATGTATAAGAATGATTATGTGCAAGCCAATAAAAATGTTTTCAATAAATTTTTTTGTTAAATTGCTTTGAAGGAAAACATAATAAAAGACACCTTCTTGAGCCCCAGCTTTCCCATCTGTGAGGTAACGTTAGGCAACCAAGCCCATGACTATCAAGTCAGCTCTGGCTCACGTTAACTGAAAGGTGAACAGTTCAAATCCATCCAGAGACAGTGCTTTGGAAGAAGGACCCAGCAATTGGCTTCCATAAAGATTAAAACAAAATTCATTGCCGTGGAGTCAGAACTGACTCATGGCTGACCCTGCAGAGGGTTTTCCAAGGCTGCAAATTGGGCAGGACTTTGTCCATAGTTACTCCTTGGAGTTGCTGGTGGATTCGAACTGCCAGAGAGGCGCCACCTTTGGGTCAGTGGTGGAACTCCGTATCAACTACACGCCCGGAGTTCCTGCCTGCTGTTAAGGAAACCCTAGGGACACAGGGAGTTGCCGCCAGGAACGGGGTTTTAGAAAGAGATCCCTACGCACACTCCAGTCATGCTCCATAATCAGGAGTCGACAGAGGAAATCAGGAGCTCTGGGAAGGAATCGGAAACAAGAAATAGAACCCTTTTTCCCATTTCAGGAGCCTCTCTCCCTTGTTGCTGTGGTTGCTATTTCCCATTGAATCAGAACTCACACGTAACTGATGCGCCAGTGCATTTTCAGAGGCAGTAAAACACACAGGAGGAGACTGTCTATCCTCCTGCGGAGGAGCTGGTAGATTTGAACCGTGTGGCTCAAATGTGTTTTTTAGTTTCTCACCACTAGGCCACCAGAGAGCTCCTATATCACTTAGCCCTATCCACAGTATTTTATCACTAGCTACTCCCTAGCACCCTGCTTTATTTATTTTAGCACCTCCAGATTCCCGAGTCATGAATAAAGAGTACACAGTCCATCCGAGGTTGTATAACAACCAGAGGTGCCACGGACAGCATTACTTACTGTCTCCATATGATCAGAGCCTTTGCATTCTTCTAGGTACTGGGTCACTAGGTGGACACGCTTCACACTCCCCGTGACTCGTCAAGAATCTAGATAGGCTTAGGGAGCGCTGGTGGCCTAGTGGCAAGAAGCTGCACTGTAATCCCAGAGATACTGGTTCAAGTCCACCAGATGCTCTGCTGGAGAAGGAGGGACAATCTCCTTCTGTACCAGTCAGATCTGATTTGACAGTATCCACACACAAAATAATTTTTTTAATTTTTTTTTTAAAAAAGAATCTATGTAGGCTTGAGTCCACCCAGAGTGCCTCAGAAGTAAGGCCTAGCAATCTCTTTGGGAGAAGACTGACTATTGGAAACGCCATAGCACACGCAAGGTCACCATGAGTTAAGGTCAACTTGTTGGCAATAGCCTGATAGACAGTGTTCCCAGTTCAAGATGAGAAAACTGAGACTCAGAGAGGTGAGGGACTGTCCAGATTTCACCGCTTGGAAGAGGGTGATGTGAGAATTTGAACCCTGGGAGGGAGGGGCAGCGTGTCTCTGGAAGCAGGAGGGGCAGGACTCACAGTGCACGCTAAGGGCCGGAAGGAGGTGAGCCTGTCAGAGGGGTAGGCGGTGTTTCCGCTCCAGGCATCCCAGCTTGGATATTCGCCCCGCTCCAGCACGTACTGCTGTCCTTGGTAGCTGGCGTGCTCAAAGCCCACCCACCTGTGGACAGAGAGCAGAGGGCACAGGAGGTGAGACACTCACCTGAATCCCTGGAGGTACAAATGGTTAACGCACTCAATCATTAACAAATAGATTGGGGATTTGAGTGTACGGAGGAAGATCTGGGAGGGGAAAGTCTTCCAAAAGATAAGTTATTGAAACTCTATGTACAATGCTGATTTTACTTTTGAAAAATCTGTTTCGTGGGGTTTTTGTTGTTGTTGTTGTTGATTTTATAATCAGACTGATGTACTAAGAATTGACATGAAAAGCAATTTGGAGGCTGTAATTAAAAAACCCCACAAACCTCTATGTACAAGGGTTTGTCTTTTATCATCAGTTCTATTAGTTACTGTAGGGAGCTCTGGTGACCTACTGGCCAAGAAGTTGTGCAGCTTTTACGCAGAAAATGTTGTTAGGCGTGATCTAGTCAAGCACGTTCATAGCAGCCCTCTGAAGAATTGATCTGAGCCCTGTCCCGTCCTGCGCCGTCCTCATCATATCTGACACTCTCGAGCCCATTGCTGCAGTCACTGTATCCATCCATCCATCCATCTTGCTGACAGTCTTCCTGTCCAACTCTCCACCTTTCCAAGCATGATGTCTTTTTTCAAAGGAGTGGCCCCTTTCCTAAAAACATGCCCAAAGCGTATGAAATGAACTTTCCTCATCTTTGTCTCTAAAGAGCAACCTGGTTGCATTTGCTCCCTAAAAAAAAAAAAATGTGTTCTTTTGGCAGTCCATGGACTGTTCAGAACTCTTCTCCAACACCCCAACTCGAAGCAGGAAATATTTAGCTAAAAGTTGTTTGCATTATGCTGGTTGGCCTGGCTATATTTGTTTTTACTTTTGGTGAGCAATGCTAGCTTTCAATGAGTATGAGTGGGGACTTCAGACACCATACACCTGCGTTCAGTGGGGACCGTGTGTCTAAACAGCGCCCCCTACAGCTGTGTGCGGAGCACATCATCTGAGAAGCTGGATCATATGAAGAGCATGATATCAGGATTAGAGTAACTCATTAACAATCTGATGTATGCAGATGACACAACATTGCGTGCTGAGCGTGAAGAGGACTTGAAGCACTTATTGATGAAGCTTTCAGATTACAGTCTTCACTGAGAAAGAGGGGATAAATAATGTATACTGCATTGAAACAGATGAGGGAGAGAACTGTTTAAAAACAATATATGACTGGGTATTATTGTCACGACAGGAATCCAGAACAAAGGCTGCATAATGGAGTGGACTCGGCGGAAGGGACTGTATAAAAATGAAAGAATTTTTCTTTTACTTTTCAAGTAGAAGAGTGAATTGGGGGGAGGGGTGGGCAGGGAGAAAACTGCAACAATGCATGAATGGAAATCCAAAGTCTCTGTGAATGTTCATTAAAATGAATAATAATAATACAAATACTGTATAAGACCATTATTGAAGAATGTGTTTGAGGACCCAAGAGAGGGAGGGTGGGAGGAGAGGAGTGAGGGTAGGCAGGTTGGAGGGGGTTAATCATAGGGTCACACAATTTGATGGGTAGAGAGAGGGGTGGGTAATGGAACTGAGAAAGATCTGGTGTGGAAAAACAATGTATATGAACTTTGTAAGTAAATTCTTATAAAATAAACATTTTCTTAAAAAAATTACAGTCTCCAGTATGGACTATATCTTAACATAAAATAAAAATCCTAGCAACTGGATCTCACAGCTGATTAGAAACAGTACGATGAATGGTGGAAAGATTGAATTTGTCAAGATTCCATTTTACTTGGATCCACAATCAGCACCTATGGAGGTAGTTATGAAAGCAAACCACACATGGCATTGGGCAAACCTATCGCAAGAGACCTCTTTCAAGTGTTCAAAAGCAAAGATGTTGCTCTGAGGAATAAAGGGCGCCTAACTTGAGGCGCACTATAGTTGCAAGGAGCAACAATGTCAGCTTAAAGACTAAGGTGCCCCTGATTAAATCCACGGTCTTTTCAATTACTTGCTATACATCTGGATGATGGGCAATGACTAAGGATGATAGAACACTCATGCCTTTGAGTTGTGCTGGAGGTGAGTGCTGAGTGCTCCATAGTCTGTCAAAAGGGCAACCAAATTTGAAGGAAGTGCAACCCCAGTGCTCCTTAGAAGTAAGGATGGTGAAACTTGATCTCACATACTTTGGACATGTTGTGAGGAGGGCTAAGTCCTTGGAAAGGGACATACACCAGAAGGAGAAGTACAGGCATACTGCTCCTTAGAAGCCAGGATGAAAAGCCTTTTTGCTCCCCTACTTTGGGCATATTATCAGAAGAGACCAGCTCTTAGTAAATGCATCATGTTTAGTAACCCAAAGGGTCATCAAAAAAAGACCCTCCATGAGATGGACGGACAGAGTGGCTACAAAAATGGGCTCACACTTGGCAATGACTGCGGGGATGATGCAGGAGCTGGTGGTATTCTGTTCTGTCGTGAATAGGGATGCTGGAGTCAGAATGGCACCTAACAGTTACAACAACAGTTGAGCAGTGTACAACCTGTGAAACCTTACATGGCGGGCCTGCATGCTCTTCAACACCAAGGCAGGCACAAGAGAACAATCTTTTTTTTTTTTTTTTGAAGAGAGAGAGAGAACACCAGCTAGTGCCTGGGAATACAGAACATCTCATTTGCACCCAACTCGGGTCCCCTTGGACTTACGCTCCACTCAGCACTTTTAAAGATCGAACTGTTTCAAATCCAAGGTCCAGCACTCTGGGGCACTCGGCTGTGAACTCATGCCGCCGGCCCTGGAAACCCTCCTCGTCCCATACCACCATCTAGACCAGAGGGGGGAAACAGGCAGAGACCAGCATCAGACCCCTGGGGATAGAGAAATGGGGAGTTGGGGTCTCCCCCAGGACACAGAGCAAGGCTAGGCAGATAACCATACCTTCCTACAAGCCCAGGTGCATACATTTTCCAGTGGCTGATTTTGGGGAAAATAGATTGCCAGATCTTTTTCTGAAGTATCCCTGGGTTAATTTGAAATCCTAGCCTTCTGGTTAATATCGAGTGCTTGGTTTTGGAGACACTGGGGATTTCTCTACTAGATAAAGCAGGGATTACAAACTCAGTTCTCTCCAAGGGCCAGGCAGGTAACATAGGTGGAACCTGCAGGGACTAGAGATCATGGGTCCCACCTAGGGAGTGTCCCCTGCTCACTGGTACCAGTTGCCACCACGTGGGAATGGGGACCAGAGCTTCCCTTTCTTGGGACAACCAGTAAATGCACAATTTAAACAATGTTTTTAAGTCTTTAAAACACAATGGAGGTCAAATAAATCATTCCCCAAAATTGTGTGCAAGCTGTAGGCAGGCAGCCAGTTTGCACTCCCCTCTCTCCCAGAGAGTGGTCCCAGGTGAAAGGTTGATAGTTCAAGTCCATCTGGAAGCACCTCATTAGAAAGATCTGAGCATCTATTTTTTTTTTAAATCAGGCATTGAAAACCCTGAGTTGGAGTCAATTCAATAGGTGGTGATGGTGGTGGTGGTGGTGGTAGTAATGGTGGTAATGGTAGTTGCGGTAGAGATGATGGTAATAGTGCTGGTAGTAGTAACAGTGGTGATAGTGGTAATGGTAGTGATGGTGATGATGGTGGTGGTGGTGGTG